TTTCGAAGAAGCAGCTTACTTTTTAAACTAAGCAACCCTTGTGTTAGTAACCTGTTCCACAATGTTTGAACAGCCACTATATGTCAGATCAGAACGTGCTTTGTATCAACTATAGTACTAGTGTAATAAAGGTGATATCCCAGAGTCTTTGTACAAAAATTAAGCTCTAAAGCATTACATAGAACTAATGAAGTAAATGAGCAAAGCAAGATTTGTCAACAGCATAGTTAAATGTTCCCTGGCAAATAATTAACGGTTGGTAGTGGCGTTGCGTAATAACCGGACAACTAAGTACCCGAGACAGTCGTAAACGAGGTGGCAAATACACAAGTACCAAATATATACGCGAGCCGAGAGACTACAGGATGCATTAATTGTACTCATTTCACAATCTGTTTAGCTATTTTATTGGATAAAGTTGGTCACGTGCGTACTGCGTACAGACAGACACCCGATACATTACTATTCAGATAAGGTTAGTTAATGCTACATTCGGAACGGATAAAAGAGCGAGAAATAAGATACATGCGTTTTATAAAATAAATTTCGCACAGTGCTAACGTATTTTGGATTTTGTGAAACTAACTCAAAGTTAAATGATAAATTTCAGTTTGAAAATTATAGTCACTATTGTACGTCAAAAATTAAGGATAAAGAGTGTCAGGCTGCCGGTCAGATTTCTAGTGAAGTTTCCTGTGGAGAAGAAAGATCAAGGAACTCCGAGTTCCTCTTTTTCATTAAAATTAGTTAAAAAATGTACCAAAAATATTCCGTGTGCATACCACAGAAGATACGCCACTATTAAAATTCATTGTGAAGAAGTTACTATACATTTCGAAACGAAAACACTATTAGGCCAGAACGAAACCCAAGACCATTGGGATAATGGCCTCTTAAAACGTTGCAATAAAATAATAGGTAATAAATTAAACGCATATTTTAATTATCGCAAGAGTAAAACGACACACGGCACGCTAATTGTGTTGCGGTCATGTGATGCTGACAAACAAAATATTTTAAACAGATATTTTGTTGACATCGCAATGTAAAATCCGCGGCCATTGTTTTGATAATACTTATAAAATGTGCAATTAGTATCAATTCTTGTGAATGAACTGGCTTTTATTGACTAGTTGCATTGGTGTATTGTGTTTACAATTCATTTCAATCGCGCGCGCAGTCAGCAATTCCAAGTTGACAATTATATTTAATTTTAATATTAACATTAATATAAAGTTAGTCGACGATCGGTCACCAACCAAGCAGCGTTTTCTATTACTATTATCCATTACCATTTTACCCAATATACGATATTTTAACAGAACGAGTTTTTACTATTTATTTGATGGATTTACGCCGAACAATTGCCCAAAAAACTTCGAGCCGGATAGGGGGAGGGACAGGAATAAAACTAGGGTCTTGTATCCTCTTTGATTTCAATCATTTTGAATAACACTGTATTGGTATTTTGTCCGTTGTTCAACAATAAGAGCCTTTAATAACAATAGAGAATCCCAACTCCAACATACCTGCCGACCTTTTTTGAAATAACTGCGAAAATTACGTCTCATAATTATAATAATAAGCCAATAATAATTAGCGAGCGTATTCGACGTTAACTAGTTCAATTGGCTTTCCCGTTTGAGGATGATATTCGCAAAGATTTGCATAAATTAAGTCTGCACAATCGATTATATTATTAATAGCTGCCTTAAGACGCCCGTGAGACGAAACAAAATTGCAATTAATATCTCTGATGAACCTATTTTCTTAATAATACTTAACTAGCTTGACTAGTGAAGTGCTGTAATTTAATGTTCCGAGGCTTATTATTGATATGTTGTTTTGGATATGCTCTTTAAAAGAATAAAATGATATTGAACGATGTGTGCCTTTTTAAATAACTTACCAAGGCTTAACTAGTAGACAGAATTAGAAGAAGCAAACAAGGTTTAATACTAATATGGATAAGCCAGGTAAATATGGATGATACAAACATAGGAAGACGTTACAATTTGGGCGGTTTTGCCATCCATTATAATCTTTCTTCATAAGACTCACAGGGTTAAACATTTGGATTAATCTAATTGGCTGACACCCGTGCAGTACTAACTCACGTCACATCCACAATAGTTGGTGTAGTGTTCCTAGCATTGAGTTACAACGTATTCACATATACCTAAGAAGGTTAACTCGAGCCACTACCAATTCAGCTTATTGGATTATCGCGGGCTCACCGTCGCTTGTATGCGGTATAGCGCGCGAATAGGAAAATGCAGTTCTGTAAAACAAATGCATTTGAATAAATGGGTTTAGTTATAATGTCTGATGAGTAAAATGTTTCCTGCATCGACCTTAAATGATTTGATATCAGTATTGAATTTAGAATTCTATATTTGAAAATATATTAAAATGACCTTACGTGTTAATTGGTCCAAACAGTTAGCTAATGGAACCAAATAATGTGAGCCATGGAAGTGTCGTAAAGCTTATACAAGAAAACAAGCTTAATGATATTTAACAATGATTGTTAAAAATAAATTATAATACTAAATGACAATCAAAAGATAAAATCAGACTCGCACATCATAAACATTAAAGTTGACAACGGATTTCGAGAGAAGCGGTCAGTAACAGGCGCGTCACACTAATTATCCAGCTAATTGATTCTTGCAACCGGCCGAGTAAGATAAATGGGAACATAAGTAAGTTGATTGACTTTAATCGTTCATTTCTGAATTATTACCGGAGCGTTAACGAAATACTAAACAAATAGCATAAAGCAACTAACGATAATGATTTTGTAATTGATATTACTAACCATGCACACGCATACTTTATCCGAGAACTGTAATTGTAACACATTAAAGATCATAATTGAATTATGATATTTTAATCAACTCTATACTAGCAAATGCAGAAGTGGGGAGAACAATAAATCAAATACTACAAACTGATAAAACTTTAGAACGCACAGAAGTAAAACGTCTTGACAGTGTACAACAACCTATCCCAACACAAATTCCTAAACTAAGTACTTTACAGCAAGCAAACAAAACAAACGCTCGAGCCAAACATGATCAACACGGCAAAAGAAACCTTACTCAAACAGTACTTAGCGGCAAGCAAATAAATACTTGCAACACAAACTTAGTACGTATGTTAATCAATTTGTCGGCAGCATGGCGCGTCTAGTTCGCGAGCTGTTTGCACAAGTCGCTATTGTTGACACTGAACACCGAACGTCCTATTATGACTGACTTATTACTAATATTCACGCTAATATGAAACATAAACGTTTGAACTACGTGACATAAGCAAAAACAACGTAAAATAAAACATAACTTGAAGTAAAACGTCACGAAGTTGGAAAATATTTAAATGACTTCATAAAAACAATAGTAAGTGCTAAGTAATAGCTGAATTCTCTCTAGAAGATTTGAAGCGTAGGCGTGAAAGCTAGAAATATTAAACACTATGAATGGATTAAAAAAATAATAAAGTTAAGATTAGTTAAAGTGATACTTTATTTATAACTGACTTTAGCTCCGACGGAAAGGTTACAGGCGTAGGAGGGACTTATTCGGAAATGTAAACTAACGAATATAAATTTACTCTTCAATGTATAAAGCATTTAATTCCTACGAAAATGCAGACTTATAGAGGCCAAAAAATAGAAAAAGGCAAAATGATCAAGACGGTAGAAATTGTAAAAATTGCATATTCATCACATTCATTCATAAGCGGAACCTTTAACAAAATTCAAATTAATATCCGTCCTCATTGGGCAAAAGGGCACATCGTTATACCTCTATATCAAAATATCAACATCAGACGATTTTACAAGCAAAAACTTAGTTAACACGTACGCATCGGTGAGCAGTAGCGCGTTACAATTTTGCTTAATTGATTCCATGGTACTTATCGCATGATAGAGGTAAATAAAGCCGGATCTGAAGTTAATGCGTTGGGAACATGCATCTGTTTCTTGCACCAGCTAGCCTTTGGATTGACAAAAAACTTCTTAATCATAGTCCAACACGTGCTTTATGGTTTACCAATAAATATTCTATTGTCTTCTACTGGCCCTCCAATGCCTTTCAAAGATCTGCGAAGAATTACTGTCGGCGTAATACCATAAAAGGACAAAGACAGTACGAGGCTTAACGGTAATTTAAAATTGGGTAGCGTTCCAATATTCTTGTGAAAGGACCTTTTATAACAAAAGGAAACTACACAGGTAAAGTTGATAAAAAACCACACTGAGAACGGACATAAGGCGTTTAAATAGGTTCCTAGCTAAAGTGACGCACTGCTTTAATAGTTATACAGCCAGTACTCAGGAATTCTGTTTCATCCACTTCATGGAAGCTTCTTCGCTTTTACTACAAAATGTCCAACATTTCTGGTTTGTTGTTTTTTCTTCATTTACAAGGTTAATGCAGAAATAAAGGCATCCTAATTAAATGTACATTTGTCGCGCCATAAAAGTGAATAAAAGCTTTGCGGTTTATTGTCTCGGTTTCTTGTTAATTATGAGCATGCATTGTTTTGGGCGCTTGTTTTAACGAATAATGAGTACAAAATTTCCGGCTACTTTGATTAAATCTTTTAAAGTTATGGATGTATTTTTTGTCGGCTTAAAATACTCAGTATTCAACAGACATTGGAATCTTTGTAATGTTTGCATGAACAATATGATATCATAAGGAACTCGTAACCAAATACATTCTGTAAAATACAACTGGCACATAAGCAGTCAGGGTTGGTTCCTAGCAAGTAATAAATAACGACAACACGACGAGTTCGCAGGAAATTAAAAAAATACAAAATGGTCGACCGTCGGTGACCCTCGAGTATGTGGTTGTTTGAGCGTTAAACTTTTAAATACGAGTTTACGTTTTAAACTTTCTATTGAACATTTTTATTATAACAGTAAATTATTGTAATGAAAATAAACTTAAATACCTTACCTAAATTGGCGTATATTGAAAGCCAACCCAACACTTCCGTTCAGGGCGGTGACCAGGCCAGGCCTTTCATAACACATATGCATACCAGCAATGGCGGGCTCACACTTATCAATACTGACTGTTTTAAATATCACTGATTCACTTACAACACGGCACAATATTACTTATTAACCAACACCACGGACGAACATATTTGATTAAAAGTTTCATCCACTAACGCACACCGACAGTTTAGCACTGCAAAACAAAATTATAAATTACACACTGAATGTAGATCAGCAAAGTCCACTGCAATTAATTGACTCGTGTCATGTAACACTCGATTGCCGTAAACGATTGATATTTACAACAAATTAACAATTGCTGGGAACTCATTCAAAGGACCACTGACGCTAATTCAAACTATTAGATCCAAGTCAATCTTGGTTCGAGTCTAGTACTTCGAGTATACTGGACAAATTTGGTGCAAATATTCATTTGTTGCTTACTTCGATTATTATAATGACTGAGGATATAGCTAAAGTGTGAATGGAAAGGAAAACAACACGTTAAACGATTACGTCATATTGTTAATTTGACGTAGTTGGAGGTTTACACATGTCATAGTTATTGTAACTTACGTCTGACCTTGTCAAAGCTTATCTGACCTTGCAGAAATTGCTAATTGAAAACCTAATTAGGTATCTACGCAAAGACACTCCACATGAGACGAAATATAAGTTATGTCAAAGGCAGTTTTAAACTATTTTTGTAGGAAGATTTGAAGTATGTCAAAGTTTTTAAATTTATTGAAACAACTATCGTCCATCAAAAGTTGGACAGTTTTTCATTGAACCTAGTACGGTTGTCAATAAAAATCGAATGACGCGACTCACAACTTCGATAACTGTGTGGATTAAGTACTTTGTAGACTTGGTAGGTCCGGATAATCTTAATTTAAAGGAACTGTCATTACAGGAGCCGGGTTCCGGTCAGATGATTAATTGGGAGGCAGTGCGCCGGATACTTTTTGCCTTATTTAGCGGACATCGGGTAAATAGAATGTGTCGGGTATTTTTTCGCTGAGGGTCATGAGGAGCCATTACGCGGGTGTTTTCTCATGTGATTGATCTGCGACCCGACTAGGGGAATACACAACCTACCACCCCTACTCGAGGAAACGGCGTGTTTATGGATAACGGTATCCACACCAATAAACCGTATCTTTATGCGCTCATGTCTGCCATTTGGACATATGTCAAAAAGTAGTTTATTGTAATGTTTATTTTCATAGAAATGGATTTGAATGTCTACACTGGTTGTAACGTCATTATTATGCGATTGGCACTCAATCTACATTCGTTTAATAGATGTTCTTCTAAGCGACCCTTTCTTGGTCAGGGCGTGGGAAACGTCAGTTCGTCACGTTACGATATAATGTAGACACGTTACTACTAACTTGCATTTGAATGACAATAGAACAGATGGTCAAACACCGAGAATAACAGGTAATGCCGGCACCACGGAGCATGCGGGTGCATAACTATAATATAGCACGGCTTTGTATATCTGTCAAGGTCGAACCGGCGAATATTTTTAAAAAGTAGTTAATTTTCTATACGATCCAAATAGTGAGTGTCCTACATCAGAGAAACATTAACCTAGTTTAAAGTCGAGGTCATATTGTGGTTACTTCGTCACTGGGATCTGTTGAGAGCGAAACAATTTACAAAACAGACAATGAACTCGTGACAAAGTATTCGTTCATCAAATAGTCTCCAAAATTTGGGATGGTAATCGTTTAAGATTGGAGCATTGTCCGATGTCCGTAGTGCGGTGAAATAAGCGTTCTGGAAGGGATAAATAATGTTGTGAAGCGGACATTTTGTTAGATAGTTATTCAGCTTTTACAAGACTATTCAAGATAACCCTTGCGACGTTAGAACCCTCTTCGTACCCCCGTGGGAAGTACAGTTTATCTAAAGATAAGTGTCTCTCAGATTGACCACCGGCCTCATTTAGATTACACCCTATTAATATTCCAACATTGCAATGTTAAAGGTCTTAAATCGTATTTAATTCTAGCCAATTCCAATTCCTGATTATTGTTTGTATAAATAAAATAATTTAGTATGAATTAAAAAATCAGGAAGCCATATTGTTTTGCATTAGACATTTTATGAATAATTCAAGATGAATTTAATTAAACGCTTTTAAATTGATACGAAATATGATATGCAATGCTCGTGATGAGATATATATTTAAAAGTTTACAAAATATATAATATAAGGAAATAAAATGGCGAATGCAAGGGTCGTGAGAAATGAAGACTTTATTTTGATGTGTATTTGTTTATTTATCACTCTCTTTATATAATAACGAGATAAAAATAACTTTTAATAACTTAATACGAGGAAAAAGTGTTGTTTACTCCATAGTATTCGAAACTGAGTACCGTCAGTGTAATAATTATTGTTGTAGCTTAGGAAAAACAACAAATTAAGTTAAAATACAAATCCACAATGAAATTAAACAAACAGTAGTCAAACAAACAAGTTTTTGTTACTTGTCTGCGCTGTCGTGGCCGTACAAAGCACTAAAATGTAGGTATAAAGTAACGCTAACTACTATAGGGACCTAATTATACCTACACGAATTATCAAAATGAGGTAGGATACTAATTGTATTTCATCATAACTAAACATGTTTACTAAAATGTATCAATGTTTTTCCAGCCAGTACCATATTAAAGTGATTATTTATTATGTATTTAAAAAAAATGCCGGTTGTTATTTGCTTGGATCACAAGTACTGTTCACTATTGGCAAAATAATATAACTATACATACGAGTAAGTAAATGCTACGTAAAGGTCTCACTTAACAATCAAAATACAGGTTTAACCTTGTCATTGACTTCAAGATCATGATTGTAATAAAAATAAGAATGCAATTAAAATTTCAACATTTAATTCGAGCACCGGACTCGAACAAAGCGCCCTCCCAACGTACAACGGTAACGATTTCAAATTCAGAAATGGTTCCAATTTTGAAAAGGTATCGTAAATCATAAATTCCCAGTTCCAGCAATCAAGTGCGTCATGCATGAGTCAACATCATGGACAGAACATCCGCCGGAGCGGCTCGTTTCTTACAAAAAGCTGCTGTGGTCGCGTCGTCAAAGTCAATCCTCCGATCCAACACTGCAATCCAAGAGATCACTGGTGGTCCTCGCCACAGATTTCACTGTGACGCCGCACAAACACACTGAGAGGCGGAGCGCACTGACAACACGCACGCATTCCGTGTCCGAATGCAAAGCGCATCACGATCACCGCTCACGTCCGTGCGAAAACCCGCCAAAAGCGAGTTCCCCGAGTACCTTATATGATGTATTTGATGTAAAAGCATTCGCCGCACGACGCGCACACGACCACACGGCAGGCGAGGACGCGCGCGACTGCCGCTCGACGCGGGGCGGGACCGACCGACGACGCTCGCAGGTTATCGTGAGTCGACTACACAGATAATGATGTCAAAAGTGGATCGGACTAATGCTCTCTTATTATATTTGTAAATGTTCTGATCCAATGCTGAATATACACAAATCACGATCTTCATTCATCATTACATCTTGATAGATATTTTTTAATAACTTATCCAGTGGCATTGCTGTTACTATTGTTATGGTAATGATCAGATCACTGATCAATTATGTTTACTTCCGTTTAATTACTGTCAAGATCATATACCGCTTTAATTAACTGGGTAAGAGAGGGATCATTGTTCGAAATAGTTTTCGATCGTTATCTTGTTTTATTGGCTTTTGGTCCTTTGAGTTGAGATTGAGTTTTGTGGTATTTTGTGCCAATCGGTGTATTATGTCAATTAAGGGTTTAAATAAAGGACGAAGAAAATCCTAAAAAATAACAACGCATTTCTGGCCACGCCTCTGGACAACACCAACAAAGAAGTATCAGCGGAGAATATCACTCATCGAAGTGAGCGCACGCTCGGCGCAAAACACCGGCCGTAATTTTTATTGTCCCACGCTGCCCGTCTCGTTAAAGTAATGTGATTCTTGTCTCAAAACAACAAGACAAAAAATCGCTTAACACTAACGCACGCCCGCAAAGTATTAGTCAAATCGAATAATGTTGATATTTTGAGGATCCAACGAATGTGTACCGTATCGCGATTGTTTTGGAGTCTTTAACGGAATGCACACATTGATGTGGACGACACAGTTTGTGTTACTGAATTTTATCGGTTTACACCAACTTTCAAATCTAGCCGTGTTGTTTGCGGTAATAATAAAGGTGGGTTGCTTATCAGGTAAAGTGACTGCCTCTTTTCAACCGCTTTTTTATTGCATATTTTGTGTTGTATTCAGGGTAAAAGGGAGTTGAGCGCTTCATTAGGCGTGGATTTTGTGGACGAAAGGATTTATGTATACGTGAATTTAGAGCTCATAGGTGTTCCGCTCGACACAGGATCGTTGAGACAATTAAACTAATCAACACCTCAACTATTACATAAGCAATTTCGCTCGAATCCACATCAAAGCTTCTAATTAACACGGAATTCGATACATACTTGTAGCATTTATATTATAATGTGGTACGGCAAGTTAGTACAAAAATAAACACTGACACCAATTAGCACATACTGGTACGGTCTCCAGCGAAACTATTCCATCGCGACCAATTATTACTCACGTTGAAATAGCAGGGAGCGAGCTATGTGCTAACTGAAAATAGTACTATATTGACCATTAAGTGAATTGCACACGGATAACTAATTCGGTGTGACCCAATTTGGTGTGACAAGCGGAGCGCGCCTGCGACGGCCGCACAGCGCACGTAGCGGAACTAGGCGGATCATCCCGGGGGAAGAAGGGGGGAAGGAACTTTAGGGCCGCACAGGGAACGTACTCGTGACTCGTCTACCACTTTCTTCCTTCTTAGGTTTCAATAACACGTATTTGCTCCACAAGCTTAAGTTTGATTTGAAGCAGTTAATTCTGCGGTTATTAAGCATTAGGGCTTAAGTCACTTTGTAGGGGAACGTTTGCATAACAAAGCGGCCGGCTTAGCGCTCAGGTTATAGTCTGGTGTAATCTAACTGAACATTGCATGCGATCTATCACTTCTTAGTATATGTCACTTGTTTGCGCACCTGACAATTCCGAAGACCTCTATGATTTGTTTCAGAAAGAAATGTATTTACATTTATTAAGAGAATAAGTGATTGTTCGGTATTATTATCAATAGGAAAACCCTCCCAACGTATAATGCTTGTATACAACATTTCTCTTGTAATAAGGAAGATCGAAACAACAATTTTAATTAGTTGGACAAAAGGACCAAGGGCGGCGGCGTACAGTTAGAATCACGACCTTTATTCGAAACTAAATGAGAATAAAACCTCAACCCTCCAACTCGTACAACGTTATAGTCTGTTCACAAAGGAGCTTTTGACAGGTCAAATTCGTGATTGTTCCAAACTGTGGTATGAAAGCAAGAGGCGGGTTCCACCCGACATCCTGGTTAAATATGCACGCAAACGACCCACCGCTTCGGAAATTGGCACTCTAGTAAAGAACGATACTGAATGTAGTTCTCCTTAATGTAATTACATCGAGTACCAACACGTGGAGCTGTCTATTTACACTGAATACATAAACAAGAGCTCGTTTGAAATCAAATGGCGTTTAAGAGTAGTGCTACGCAGTGGAAACTTGACTTTCATCTTAGAAATCTTTTCAATTCCATTATTTTACAAAAAAAAACTGTCAAATAAAGGAGAAGTTTTTAAATAAACTTGTTTAAAATGCTTGACTCAATAACATCCACATATCCAAGATCATTATTAGATCCGAATCCACAATTAAGAGCTCTTAGCTCCGCAGTTGTAATACCGTTTACCTAACTTAATGACAAAGGGAACATCCCAAACATTTAGAGAAACGCCCGAGGCAGTTGAAATTCCTCGGAGCATAAATCCTGACTGCTCGTGTATTGAGAATTTGCATTAAAATTGCAGATTGAGTGGCAGGCTGTATTCGAAATCGTCGGTATTGGATGTAGGAAGGCAATGTATAGCACATCACCTATCTTTACTTTAACAAGCACATTGATCGCAGAAAGTCTTTAAAACCACGTTATAATTCCATGAGTTTACAAGAACAAAACAAGTTTAACTACTGTTCGAAGGCTGAAGGAAATGCACCTTTCTCGTTATAAAGTGTGCAATATAATGAGAATGAAATCTCTGTTGCCTCGTGTCTATGAAACTGTGTGCTGAGGGACAAAAAGAAAACTCTTTTCAGAGTCCTTGGTGTTCAAGTTACATTTAAAATATATTTCTTTTAGTGTCTGCCTCGTTGGCTGCAACTACAGATGCGATTGAGGACATTTGATTTTCGAGGATATAAATAGTGATAATTAAAATTGTGTTTAATAAATAGTCCTAAGTCCTCTTTCCTATAAAACAGCGTGTTGGTAAGTGTAGTTTGACGGTATATAAATTTCGGGAACTAATATCAAACTCAAAAGTTGTTAACACAATGTCAATGGGGGCTTCTAAAACAACCTTGAGATCAAAAGAATCTCAAGTGGGCTTTCCGTGAGGTGTTTTAGACTTTATGTCGCACACAATACTGATGTTTTTCAAGTACTTGCTTTATAAAGTATTCTTTTAGCGTGACGTATTTAACCATTATTGTTTCAAACACTTTTATTCGAGTAGGTCGGTTTTTGCGAAATGAGGTCCTTTGTCGAAATCCACTTTTTAAAGCGGGGAATAAAAATCTAAAGAGATTGAAATCAAATTATTTGCCATTTTGGAAACGCGCAGTAAGCGCATAATCAATTGTTGGTGTAAATTTCGCAATATCATTAGCGGTTGGCGAGCCCCAAACATTCGTCGGTTGTTATCGGCAAACTCGTTATCTTGGTGGCGCTGGCGACGTTTAAACGTAACATTTCCGAATGTATTAACGCGAGTTTCAAGGCGATGTCTCGGTCTGTTTGTGAATTTTATTTATTTCAGACATAGTCATTTAAATCGCAATCGAGTTTATTTTGACGCGAATTTATAAGTTCGGCAAAAATAGCTTTTGGTCATCTTCTTTTATTTGTTTTTAATAGGGTCAGTATCAACTGCCGTTAGTGGATGATAAATTATTCTAGTCCAGTTCTGCGATCGACTTAATTTCTGAACAATTCTATTAATTAAAATGTATTTTGTTATTCTTAGTGCCAATAAGTAATGGAAGATAATATCAACAAAAACAGAAAACAGTAATCTATTATAATAGAAATGTATGAATACAATAAAACTCATCCACAAATGGATGCGCTATAAATCTTTGTAGCATGTAGTGATCATGTTTATCTTTATTATCGCGGTGATATTGCCAATCTTCTAGATAAACCGTATTGTTACCGATAACACTTACCTCCGTGTTTATCACTAATTAAATTAATATCTATGTATGCGTTTGTTGGTCACGCACAAGTTCAATGTAAAACGTTCCTACATATGTTTTCCCTATCTATCAAACTATTTACCCGGTAAACATAGTGCTTCAAAACAAATTAAGTTGGGCGGTCAACCGGTCCAATACCCTCAATATATGAAATTGGTTGAACTGCTCCTGGCGAACCAGTCTATCAAATAATCCACGTTTATTTAGTCCTTAGTTCCGCTGTCGTCAGTAGTTTGATGACGTAAGTTCATACTGTTATTACATTACGACGGAATAAATGTTACACCGTAAACCAAAATGCAGATGGTATCAATTTGATAATGTAGTCGAGTTGACGGCACAACACGAACAAAGCACGTACCATAGACTTGCATTTATCGAGAGCGCGGAGAAATGCTTTTTCACCCCATCTAGCCAGACGGAAAAATACTTCGTTGCTGATTGTTTCCCTGTCCGGAACGCGAAATGCAAAAGTATGAAATAATTATGGCGGTGAGAGTGCGCGACATGTCGGTACCCCTCCCTCGCCCTACGTCCTCACTCCCAACCCATCAGCCGATCGTTCTCGTCTCCAATCTCCGACCCCCTAGACTAGAAGGTGGCGAGGCGTCGACAAAACGTCGCCACAAATGCGGTAAAAAGGGACTTGTTGCTTTATCAGTGTCAGGTTTTCGCGTGAAAATTTGTTGAATAAGTAATGTAGCGTTACACGACCTATATTCTACAATGTAGAACACTTGTGACACTCGCTACAGAATATTCGTTCCATCATATTGTGGAAAATGGTTCACACGTAAGCTTTAGGATTTAAAAGTTGACTTAATTTCTAGCTTTGTAATTCGATTGTGACCGACATCGCATTGCGATCGTGACAACGGAATAGTAGAAACGCGTTAGTGTGGAGCACACACACTGAATCGAGTAGTTTCGCCGCTGCATGACTGGGGTGACAAGGGCGAGATTCGAAAGAGGAATGTCCCAC